GATGAAGAATGTGTCTCTGTAATTTCCACAGACTAATCTGAGTTCTGCCCTTAGGAAACACATAGAATTTGGCAACTCCTGAAATTTGTGAGGGCCACAATCAAGTCCCTGCTTTGGATTCTCTTTTTCTAGGCTAAGCATTCTAATATCTTTCAATTATTTATCTTATGATATGCTTTCAAATTCCATCTTTTATTTCCTCTTCAGACAGATTCTGGTTTCTTTTTAATAAACTGTCCAGAACCAAATGTAAGTGTTAGGATGTAATATAAATAATGAGAACTGAGGGATTGTTACCTTCCATGATCTTCTGCATGGAGAGCGAAGCCCAGAAGTCGGGGACTGTGTTTGTCTTTCTCTCTGTTGTAGCCCCACTAACCATGTTGCATAGAACATAATAATGTTCTCAGAAAATGTATGTTGATGAGTCAAATGAGTGCTGTGGTTCCTATAAATCTAGAAATGCAGTAAAGTTAGCTATTTTAGAATTTTATCTCTGGAGCATGTTCAGTCAAAACCTCAACATCCTTTTCTTGTGAACTATCATCAGATTGTATAACCTTCAGCCTGTACATGTATAATTGATATTGTTAAACCTGAATTCTTCTTTTTCTTTATAGTAATTCATTTACGGAACAAATATTTACTGAGTACCTACAGTGTTCTGTGCTAGGCACTAGGTTCTGTGCTAGTACTAGGTTCTGTGCTAGTACTAGGTTCTGTGGTAGGTGGCACAAGTTCTGTGCTAGGTACCAGGTATATGTACTGTGGAAACAGCCCTTCTTGTCATGGATATTACGATGTAGATGATGGTGCAGTGGGGAAGGCAGATATTACACAGGTAAACAACAAGTATGTTCTTATACACTGAGAGAATTCTGTGAAGGAAATAAATAGGTTCTGGAATAGAGGACTGGGAAGTGACTTACGGGGAGAGTTTTGTAGATGGTAGGGTAGTCAAGGAAGATTGCCTAAGGAGGACTTATTCTAGCTGGAACTTGAACTATAAGAAGAAACCAGACTTGTTGCAAGGGATGGGGTGTGTTCCAGTCTAAGAAAATGGCATGTACCAACAATTTAAGACAGGAAAGCACTTGACTAGTGTGACTAGAGTATAGAGGCAAGGAAGAAAATAGAACATGGTGAGGTTGTTTTGTTGAGATCATCATGCAAGGATCTGTAGTTCAGTGAGAAGTGAAAGAAACTTACATAAACATGGTAGCAATAGAGAAGAGGAAAGGTGGACTGATTCTAAATATATTTTGGAGGTAGACTCTATAGGATTGACATAGATTTTATTGGGAAGGGAAATGGAGAAGACTGAGACAAGGATGATGCTTATGTATCTGGTCTGAGCTACTGGATGATATGATTGAACAATTTACTGGGACAGGAAGAGAGAATCAAGAGTTTACTTTTGGGCATGTGTATTGAGATGCCTGTGAGATACCCATCTCTCTTCCCTCTCTTTTCTGTTTTGGTTGTAGTGCTATCCCTCATTTATTAAGCTGTTTATCAGAGTGGGTCAAGGAAGGTGTATTATAAAAATGACAGACTCAGACATGAAACTGCTTGGGTTAATGAGAAGCAAAATAAAAATAAGCTGGAGAATAAGCTAGAGAATAAGCATGCTAATGAAAATAAGGGCAACAGTCATTCTTAAGCTTTGGTTGCAAAGGCTTTTCAAATTTCTCTGCTCGGTATTTGTTTCCGCTTCCCTAGGGATTCCCATTGTGAATTTATTCACTGATAACCTGAATTTACTCAGTCGTTTGCCAAGTTTCTTTCTTTCTCTAGCCCCTCCCGCCCTCACTTTGTTTACCCACTTCACTGTTTAGAAACCTTCAGTGGCTCTCCATTGCCTTCAGGATAAAGTCCAAACTGTTTAGCATGTTATTCAAGTCCTTTTTTAAAATCTCCTCTTTGCCTGTCTTTCCCTGTCTCCCCATTCTATCTTCACATACACTGTATGGAAAGATAAATATGTAAAGAAATGGGGGACTTGAGACTTGTGGGAACAGAGGTGGTCTTGGCCAGACTGAATAGCCTGTTCTTAAATTTTTAAGATAGGGGCTTCTTTAGCAGAGAACAGTGGAGTAGAAGCGTCTGAAGTACCAAGTTTTAGAAAGACAAATACTATCCTGGGAATTTACAATAGAATCACTACCCTGTAGTATATTAATAGTTTCATTAAAGCATGGCTTAGTTTTATAATCTGAGGGGGGGAAATTTTAACCTCCCAGAACCTGTTTATCTGGGCAATGAAGACACTTACCTTATAGAATGGTTGTAAGTGGCGAAGTATGTAGAATAATATATGGTATTTAGTAGGTGCTCAATAAATGGTAGCTACTATTATTATTTCAGTTAGAATTATTTTATTTTTCCTCCCCTCCCCACATACCTTCTTCTACCTCCCCTCACCCCCCTTCCCCTGTGGTAATCACCTTATTGTTGTCTGTGTCTGAGTATTTTTTTGGTTGTTTCTTAATCCCTTCACCTTTTTCATCAAGCCTCATAACCTAGAATTAATTTTAAATGGTAACTATATAACCTTACCTCTTTCTACTTCCCTTTTATATCCCTATTCCAACCAGTCGGAATTACTTACTATATTTTGGAAGTAGACCCTGTAGGGCTGTATATGTCTTAGTTCCTTAAGAATTGTGTGTTATCCATTTTTAGTCCCTCTCAAAGAGCTGAGCCAAAACTTTATGCATGATTAGCACCCAGTAAACATTTATAGGTGTTCAGTGAGCTAATTTGAAGAGTAAATCATTAAACTTTATTCCTAAATGGTGATTGGAAGGGAAATTTTCTTAGTGGTGCCAAACTGTACTGTTTTTATAAAGTTTTCCACCCAAGAAGCATTAATGGAGTACTGACCGTACTAATGTTAGAAAGAGATACAAAAAAGGTGAAAGATAGAGTCCAGCACTTCAATCTGCTCAGTATCAGGTTTTTAAAGATCTGATTTGCCTGAAGTCAACAGATGCACACTGTTAAAACAAGTGTACCTTTGATACCAGATGGGGTGTAATTCCTAGGGTTTGGAGGGTTAGGATTGAAATGGAATGGGAATTCATTACTTTGTCTTCAGTGCTGTTCTGATTTTTTTTTAAATCAGAAGACCTCTTTCTGACATCACATAAACAGTTATCTCCTTTTGGATTTTGTATCCAGAATGAAAAATAGTATTATTTACAGAGGAAGGGCCTATTTGTAGAGTATTTATCCTGTTTTACTGCTTGACTTCTTTGTATCTTTTCCACTGATTACCTATTCTATCATTTGTAATGTGAATAATTTGGCTACATGTAAAACAGGTTTGTCAGGATGAGTTTGTTGGTCCATAGTCTATTTCTTTTGGTGATTATTTATTTATTTAATTCTGATCAGCCTTATGCACTAGGTGCTTGATAAGGATTTGTTGAATAGTCATGCATTTGAAGTAAATGTGCTTGAATAAATTTAGAGAATGCCTTTGCAGTTTATATTTGTCAGGTTTATTCAGTTGAAGTGAATTAATTCAACAAACTTTTATGAAGGTCTATAATGTGCCAGGTATTATTCTGTCTTCATGGAACTTACATTTTAGCTGGGGGAGGAAAAGGGAGAGGACACTAAACCAGTAAACAAATAAGGCAACAGGATAATTATAGATAATAATAAGTGCAGTAGTGGTGAGAGGCCATCTGGAGGACAAAGGGCCACTACGTTAGACAGGGTGTATGTGGGAGACCTAAGGAGGTGACTTCTGAGCAGAGAAGTAATAATGAGAAGATCAGCTTTGGAGAAGAACATCATCCTAAGTAGAGAGAAGAGCAAGCGCAAAGGGCCCGAGGAGGGAATGAACTAAATATAGTTAATTACTTCAGATTGTTAGCATCCAAATACAATTTCTTCATATAAATAGTATGGAGCAGGTGTAAAGACAACATAAATGCTGCTTTTTGAGTGGAATACTTTCAGATATACTAGTAACAGTGAATCAAAGTGTACGATAATCAATAGTCAACTTCATTGCCTAGTGTCTCAAAAGTTACCTTGTGTGTTGGTTATTATTTGGTCACAAGGTATGACAATGCTTTTTGGCTATTATTGTAAGGCTTGATTAATAATACTGGGATTTTGAGATCAAGAGGCTGGAAATCAACAAATTTGAAATTTGTGAGATCTATAACCTACCTTCTCCTTTCCTACAATTGAATTGTTTGCTTTCTAAAATTTTCTTCTCTATTTTGTTTCTTTTTCTCTATTATTTATCTACATTGTAATAGTTTAACTGCCTACTCTTAAAAATGCTGATTTTGAGCATTCAAAATCACATTTGTCAGAGGAAGAAGGTCTTAAAGAACTTAAAGTGGGATGCTTCTATAAAACCCTGTAATTTAGTATTGCAACAGGAAAACCTAAGGAATTTTGTGTGTGATTCTTTTAACTTGTCATTGTTGTTGTCGTCAAGTTTGATAAATGATCAGAATTCTGAATTTGTTGTTCTTAATAGAGAAGTCTATGCATTCTAAGAAATATAGGGGGAAAAGAACAATAAAGAGTGGGGGGGGGCTTTTCATCTCATCTTTTGGGGTATAGAGGAATAATTCCTGCAACCTTGAACCTTCAGATTGATACCCTCAAAAGACATTATACAAATAAGATCCTTTTTTAGGCAGGATAAACTATTTGCTCTGTGCAGTTCTGAGCATTGAATTTAAAATTGATATATTTCATTAAGGTGACCTCAAGGGGTACTATTTTAAGCTAATTTCTCTATGTGAATATCTTTAGCAAGACAAGGCATTAGTAATTTATTCAGGATGTATAGGTAAATACTTGCGTGCTTTAATGGAAAGCCTAATGTTTAATGGACTGCAGTACTGTTTGTCGGCAATTAAATACCTAAATATATTAATTTTAGCACACTTGACCTGATTTAGGGTTTCGCCTACGGTAATGTGTTTTGCTTATAATAGCCTCCTTTTCCAACTTCTTTTTAATAGCAACATCATGACAACAGAGAAGAGTTTAGTGGCTGAGGCTGAAAATTCACAGCACCAACAACAGAAGGAAGAGGGAGAGGGAGCTATAAACTCAGGCCAACAAGAAACTCAGCTGGGAGAGGCTTCTCAAGCAGCAGCTGAGGGAGATAATCAGTGTGAGCAGAAGCTGAAAACATCTAATGGAGACACTCCTACACATGAAGACTTGACCAAGAACAAGGAGCGGACATCAGAAAACAGGGGCCTGTCACGGCTGTTCTCCTCATTTCTCAAAAGGCCTAAATCTCAGGTCTCTGAGGAAGAAGGCAAAGAAGTAGAGTCAGCTAAAGAGAAAGGTGAAGAAGGTCAGAAAGACATAGAATTTGCAACCAGTCTTGATGAAGAAGTCATTTTAAAGGCCCCAATTGCAGCTCCTGAACCGGAACTCAAAACAGACCCATCCTTGGATCTTCACTCATTAAGCAGTGCAGAAACACAGGTAAGGATATGTGAATGTGTGGGAAGCGGGTGTAATGAAGGTAGGTTAGACACTTTATTTTTCATTTAAGAACATTAGGTTTTATTTGTTATTAGCCAGTTGACTTGGGATTGATAGTAATAAGTAACATGAAGTTTTGGAGTTTCTGCTCTAAAGAAATTACTGTAGCCATGGGGATGTAAAGTACAGCACAGGGAATATAGTCAATAATATTGTAATAACTATGTATGGCGCCAGATGAAATATCAGGGGAACTACTTTGTAAAGTATCTGATTGTCTAACCATTATGTCATATACCTGAAACTAATACAAAATAATACTGAATGTAAACTATAATTAAAAAATAAAATTAAAAAAATAAGGAAATTAATGTAGTCAATGGAAACTTGATTTTTAAAAAGATACTTATACGGTATAAATCAAAGAAAACAAAATGAAAAAAAAAGAACTTATCAAATGAATTTATTCAGCCTATATAACGTTTTACTGTTATTGTGGAACATATCCATGATATTTAATAAAAAGGAAAAAAGAATTCAGGTGGTTTAGAGTTAATTTTGTTGGAGTTATTAGGAATGGGATAGTTATCAGCAGACATGATTTTTTTATGGAAATCTCATTAAAGCCATGTGATAGATTCAAGCCATCCAGAGGTACGTGATAGATTTGAGCCATGCCTGCCTTATTTTTGTCATCTTTTCTAAGTGGATCATCGTACCACAGAGTATAAGATACAGATGAGAAAGTCTAGGTCTTTATATCACCATTGTAATATATAGTAATTTGAGGTCTTAATTGTGTCACCAGTGTAGTTGACTAATCATGAGCTCTGGATTTGTTCATTTGTCCAAAAACATGGGGAAATTTTCAGTCTTTTTATTTCTGAAGCATGTATTATTTGCATTGTAAAAGTCTAAGTCCTATATATTTTTACTAGAGGCCCGGTGCATGAATTTGTGCATGGGTGGGGTCCCTTGGCCTGGCCGGCAATCAGGGCCGATAGGGGCTGATCAGGGCTGGCTAGTAGGGAGGGACTGCGGGAGGTTGGCCAACTGCAAGAGTTTGACTGTGGGAGTGCACTGACCACCAGAGGGCAGCTCCTGCATTGAGCGTCTGCCCCTGGTGGTCAGTGCACGTCATAGCGACTGGTCAACTGGTCGACCTGTCGACTGTTCATAACAGTTGCGTAGGCTTTTATATATATAGTTCATAGGTCTCAGGTTTGGGCTATACAGTTTTATTAGAAGTTTCTAAAGTATTACATGTATTTCTAGAAATATTGTATAATAAACGTGCTAAGAGTAAAATTTAGGATAAAGTTGTAATTACATACTTCTAGTAGTGAAACAAGATTGAACATAAGATTTACTATATAGTGTAATAGTTAAGAATGCAGACTATGAAATCAGACTAGAGGGTTCAAATCATAGAGAAGTGATACTTTTGCTTTATCATTTTCCTCCTCTGAGGATAATAATATCCACCTCATTTGGCAATTATGAGGATTAAAAGAGATAAACATGTAAAGTCTCAAGTATTGCCTGGCATTTAGTAAGCACTCAATGTTAGTTATTCTTACTCAGTAAAGGCCAAGGTACACTACATATCTTAATATTGTTAATTTTATTTGAAGAATACCAATAGTTAAATTCTACCCTCTTTCAGAAAGCCTGGTACTTTCAAGAGGTTTTTAACTGCTTTTTTGGGTCCTCTGCTTTATGTATGGAAAAATCCATATCTCATTGTAGTTAGCATTTGAATCAGGGTCATTTTGTCTAAAGATCATAGTATTTGTACTGAAGTTGAAACACATGACAGAAAAAATTCTAGATTTATTTAAAATCTCATTCATTGAAATTTCATTAATTCAGAATTGGGATAAATTGTGTTTAGGTATTTATCTACATATAAAGAAAAAGAAATAAAATAAATAATAAAATTTCAAGAGGATATTGTTTAAAGGAGCAAACTTTAGGGCAGTGGTTCTCAACCTGTGGGTCTCGACCCCTTTGGGGGTTGAACGACCCTTTCACAGGGGTCGCCTAAGACCATCCTGCATATCAGATATTTACATTACGATTCATAACAGTAGCAACATTACAGTTATGAAGTAGCAACAAAAATAATTTTATGGTTGGGGTGCACAACATGAGGAACTGTATTTAAAGGTCCAGAAGGTTGAGAACCACTGATTTAGGGCTTTATGGAAGGTTTGGTTCACTTTCCTTTCTCTAACTTTTCCATTTCTCTCCTATGTTCTTATCTAGGATTATGATCTTCCCTATTCTGAATGATAGGTGCAAAAAAAAATAAAAATAAAAATAAAAAAAATAATAATCTTAGGAAAAAAAGAAAAAAAAAAGAAACATCGATGAGAGAGAAACATCGATCAGCTGCCTCCTGCACATCCCCCACTGGGGATGCGCCCGCAACCCAGGCACATGCCCTTGACCGGAATCGAACCTGGGACCCTTCAGTCCACAGGCCGACGCTCTATCCACTGAGCCAAACCGGTCTTGGCAGAAGCTAGTCTTTAAAATCACAGCATTGTGGATCAGAACCTTATTGCTTAACCATATTTCTTACTTGTAGGAGAATTTCATTTGCGTGGTCCTTTTCTATCCAGAATTTTTAACAAAGTGTGTTTGCCTTATAGGACTGTACTATTTTTCATCTAGAGTGCCTTAGATTTTGTTGGAAGCCATGTGTCAGTTTTTAATATTTATTTACTCATTAAACAATTGTTTATTGAAAACCTACTATGTGTACCAGACCCTGAATATACATTAGTAAATAAAAAATATAATATGGTAAAGAAGTTTGATATGATGAATTTTGGAGCCAGACTGATATGTGACTTATTAACTGTATGATCCCAAGTTACTTGAATTTCTCTGGCTTTAGTTTCTTATCTGTCAAATGGGGATAATAATAGTACCTTCCCCAGAGTTTGTTATGAAGATAAAATGAGTTCATATGAGTAATGCTTTTGTATTTGTTATGTAAATGTTTGCTTTATTTTTATAAAACAAGTATCATCCCTACTCTTGATGACTTTATAGTCTAATGGAGTAGACAAAAAGTGGTAAATACAAAATAATTATTTATCATAATAAGTGTTATGAAGGCAACACAGAAGGTACTGATTTGAAGAATAGGATAGGTAGGATAGCCAATGAAGGCCTCTCTGAAGAGGTTGCATTTAAGAGGGTCATGAGGTTTAGAAGGATCCTTTTTACACACCTCTTCCAACATGTAATGCAGGCACCAAATAATTAAATTCTTTTTCCTAAAAGTCAGCCATGTATTCTTTTAAATGAAAAGAATTTTGTCGTGCTTGAAAAAAGTCTGCCAAAATCTTAATCCACTTAGTTGTATCGCTTTGGGATATAAATGTAAATTATACGAAGATACATTCAAAGATGGATAGAGGTAAAAAAAATAAAAAAAAAAGCCTCATAACAGTTCAGGCACCAGGAGACCCATATTTCAATTTGTCTCTTGCTTCTTTATTTTTATTTTATTTATTTTTTTAATTAAATCTTTATTGTTCACATTATTACAGTTGTTCCTCTTTTCCCCCCCATAGCTCCCCTCCATCCGGTTCCCACCCCACCCTCCGCCCTCACCCACCCAACTGTTCTCATCCATAGGTGCATGATTTTTGTCCAGTCTCTTCCCGCATCCCCCACACCCCTTTCGCCTCCAAGAATAGTCAC